CTCCATGGATGATATAACCAACGAGCCCGCAGATTCTACAACTGAAGCTCGAGTTGATGAAACAACAGTTGTATCTACAGATTCGACTGCTGCACCTGTTGATGCTGTGAATGAAACAACAGCAAGCTCCATAGATGATATAACCAACGAGCCCGCAGATTCTACAACTGAAGCTCGAGTTGATGAAACAACAGTTGTATCTACAGATTCGACTGCTGCACCTGTTGATGCTGTGAATGAGACAACAGCCAATTCCTTGGATGAAGTAACCAGCGACACCACAGATTACACAACGGAAGTTCAGGTAAATGAATCGACAGTTATGTCTGTAGATTCCACAGCTGCCCCTGCTGACGAAACAACAGCAAACTCCATAGATTATATAACCAACGATCCGACAGATTCTACAACAGAAGCTCAAGTCGATGAAGCAACAGTTGTATATGTAGATTCGACCGTCACAGCTGTTGTTGATGAAGCTATAAGCGGCGCGGTAAATGAAGCCCCGGCTAGTAAAACTGCTATTATGTCTGAGAATTCGACATCTGCTTCCATTAGAGACGAGACATCTGCCCATCCAGCAGATAAATTTACGAGAAATTCTACTGACTTTACATCTGAAACTGAAATTAATGAAGAAGAGGTTGACTCTGTGGATATGACAACTGCCTCTGTACATACTCCAGGCGAAACAACAACAAATCCCATAGCTGAAATTACCAAAGGTTTTGAGTGGTCCACCACTAATACTCTAATCGATGATAAAACAGTTGGCTCTTTAAATACCCCTGCATCCGGAATAAGTGATGGTAAAACAACAATAAACTCTATAGACATAGCTACGAATGGTTTTCCGGCTTTTACGTTTCCAACACAGGTTGACGACATGATCACAACGTCTAGAAATTCGACCGATACACCCATAAACCACAAAGGTCAAACAACGGTTAGTTCTTTAGATGCAACTATTAGTAATTCAAGTGGCTCTACAATTCATGCTCCAGTTGGTGAACTCACGGTTAGCTCTGTAGACACTGCAGATGCCTCTGTACATACTACTGTTAAAGCAACAGTAAGTCTCTCGGATGAAACCTCCAAAAACCTCGTTGTTTCCACAGCTCCGGCTGACACCGATGAAAAAATAATCGCATCAGGAACCTCAATCGCTGACCCTAAAGATCCCGTCGATGAAACAACTTCTACTGTTTTCACGAACAGCCTTACTATGTTAAATTCGAATGGTGTTGCACCTGATTCCTCTAAGCCTCTACCTACATGGGGTTTCAATGGCCACAATTTCGAGTTAAAAGAAATAGAGAAACTGAACTCAAATGACGATTCAAAGGAAAACTCTGAAAAGCCCAAGCAATCTTCGGAAAATCTGCAAAATTCAAGTGAAGAGGAAAAAGAAAAAAAACGGGACGAAAAAGACAGAAAGGAGGAGGATATGAGAAAGGAAATATTAAAACAACTAAAGAAAAAACATAAAGATAATAAGGAAAACGAAAACGAAAGTATGAGCGACAGTGAAAGTGAAAGCGAAGAAGAAATAGCTAAAAAAAAGGCGTGGGAAGAAAAAGATAAACGGGAAAAGGAAACGAAAGAAGAAATGGAGAAAGAAAAGAAGAAAGATGAAAAGAAAGAGAAAGAGAAAGAGAAAGAGAAAGAGAAAGAGAAAGAGAAAGAAAAAGAGAAAGAAAACGCAATAAAAGAAACACTTAAGAAACTGCGTGATACCAAAAAGAAGTTTATTAAGGACTTTATGGAGGTACTACGCAAAGGTAATTGTGAAGAGGATAGAGTTTATCCGAATTTCAGAGACTGTCGACGATATTATCGTTGCGTGGAGAGGCGAGAGAGAATGAGAATGGTTCAGCTACGATGCGAACGCGACAAATATTTCGATTTAAAATCTGGAAAATGTCTTGATAGAAGTGAGGCCATTTGTCCAATCAAATATGATTAATTTGGCAACGTTTTCCTAGAACAATTATACTATTTCAACTCTAAACATTGGAATTGTTTTTTTTTTATTTTTAAATAAATAAACAGAAAATTGAAAAGAGAACAATAAGCAAAGCAATTCGTATTTGTTTTATGATTTCCTGCGCCAGATTATTTCATCCTTTACAGCGTAAAGTAAAAGTCATATTCTTTTTTACACATGCAAACACATCAATACTTGGCCGGAGAATGAAATTATAAAGGTAAACCATTGAAAAGTGACGACAAACGAACTTTGTTGACTTTGGTACGCTAGAAGGAAATCACTTTGAAACAATTTTAGTGGAAAATCTTTTTGAAAAGTGCACAAAAAAATACGCAATCAAACCATTTCTTTTATTAGGGTAGCAAAGGCAATAGTAACAATAAGAAAACAGTAACTAGCCGGGAAGGGGGAGGAATGAGATTGAAATATTGTAAGAAATGAGAGGGAAATTATATGCAGCTTGAGCGAATTCTTGGACACCCTTTACAACGAATACCTTATTTCAGTTCGCTGTGTATTCCTTGAAACGTGATTCCTTCGATTTAATTTAAATTGCGAGAGATTGTAATCTTTACCTTGTTGTTGTGCTAAAACAGCAAGCATAGCTTTGTTATATAGGCCGACAATTTTCGACTCGACTAATTCGCCTTCATTTAACCTACTAATAATCTACTAATAATACAATCATTAGTTTAAATGCACGTACCACGTGTAGAGTTAACAACAATTGAAATGCAAACAATTTCCATACCATAAACGCCGGTAATGGGCGTATATACAGAACCGAGTCATTTATTTATGGTTAAGTTTCATCACATATCCATAGAGGATAATACCAGATAGTGCGACATTAACTCGGTTGCCACTAAGGTATTTTGCAATACATACAGGAGCGGAAAAGTCCCGTAGAGTGTTTTAAACACTTCCTAATATTCCTCTCCGCCTAACTTATGAATTGGAGAATTTAACATAGCCTCGACTGTCTTATATTAAAAAGTCGCTTTGCATATATGCGTACGATAAGAAGGAAAACTGTTGATGGTAAAGGTTTTCTTTTTCTTTTTTTTTTTTTTTAACAAATTGAGAAAGCATTACGCAAAAGAAAAAATCTCAGGCAGAATAGAAAGAAAGCATTCTAATAGAATTTATCGCAATTCGTTTCAACATCAGTGAAGTTAATTTCATGGTAAAAGATATAAAATCAACACACACGCACCTAAGCGAAAGTTGGTAAGCAATAGACAAATGAATTCAAACCATCAAGAGTAACGTGCAGAAGCCGGTGTACTAGTAGCTATGAATGAATAATGGCTATACTTTACATTTTCATTTTTTGTTTTGTGTGTACGCGAATACTATAGCAACGTGGAAGCTTCATATTTGGTAAGCGGCACGAAACGCGTTTTGAAATCTTGAACAAAGCCCGTTAATGTAAGGGCTCGGAAGGACGGGCCGCCGTAGATATTATGCGATCAAATTGCAAATGATTGCATGACGATACCAAAACAAAACACGCACGCACCCACGCGATACAAGCGAAAAGTGACAGCGAAGTGAAATAGAAATTCTAGTCATCGCGTCATTTATTGCTGTATTATCGTTTTAATGGTGAGATATGATACTGCAACGCCACCATCGACAATCAACATAAGTATCGCGGGTGGTTGCTACAGTCTCGGCAAATGAATTATTACCCAAAAAACAAAAAGCCAAAAAAGAGAAAAAAATCAAACTCTCAACTCTTATAGAGCTCATATTAACTTACATTTTCTGTTATTCGAACTCGACAAAAAATTGTTGTATGATTTTTGAAATTAATTAGTTACTAAAATTGTAGCAGCATCTAATGGTCCTGATAATGTGTTTAGTTTAATACCGACATCATCATGGCACATAGCAACGCAATAACGCAATAACGCAACAACTAAGCATGCAAACTTATGTACATAATGTGACCTAGCTACATATAAAAGTAGCCTTTTAATAATGCACAACACAGCTGCCTTTTCCGCTAAAGCTACCCATTGTACAATGCCGGCGCAAGGAGAGTTGCGGGAATCCTATCATAGAAACGCAAAAGAGAAGTTGCGAAAAAAAAAAAAAAAAGTTTTTAATTAGTGTTTTTGGTTTGAGGGATTTAAACAAAATTTTGAATACTAAGTATGAAAAAGAATTTAATTTAATTAACTTTTTGTTTTACACGCTAACAAAGAATGCGTAAGTTTTCATTTCATTACATTTTATAATACAATTATCTTTGAACTTAAAAGCAAAATAACCAACCATTAGCATTATTATTAAAATTAAGTAAATATTAGTACTTTTTGGTCGGACATGTTCGATGTTTGTCTCCGACACGAAACTAATAAGGATTAACATTTCATTTCGTATTAGTCTTGAAACCGCGCGAGATCTTGTATTGTAGAGAGTAGAATTTTGAATTTTGAAAATTCATTTCTAGACAATCATCGTTGTCAATAAACTCCCTGTACACTCCATTCACAATTTCAAATAATGGACTTTACTGCGTTTTCGACCTAAGAGTCCTTTAAAGAATTCGATAAAAATCATTGTAGTTGATTGTAATTTATAGCATCTAACAAATTTCAAGCAGATGTACAGGCAAAATATCTTGTCGACAGATTTAAAACAAATTTTATTTTTTATTTACTCAGTACGCGTGCCTTGTCGTTAAACCGATTTCATAGAGTCATTGATGCTCCCTTGGCGATGAGAGGAAAAACATATCAAATGCAATTTACTCTTATTCTAATAAAGAAAACTAACTTTATTCGAATAACGAATAACAAAGCTTAAATGAAAAAAAAAAGAAGAGGAATAAAAAATTGCAACCAGAATCATGACTTGAAAGGCTTGAGATTACAATTAATTTTTAATCTTTCTCAGATCGTCACTTTATATATAAACTGCATTAAATAAATGAAAAATAAATCTTTTTTCTCTTCAACTTTACTTGTTTCAAAATCGCTCGAATCATTTGAAACGTAACGAACCAGACTCGACAACGTCATCGGGCAGTTTGTGGGATAGTGTTAAGAGTGCCTAATATTTCTGAAGGTATTGAGATCTTAAAAATGTTGACCACTAGCAAATGTATAAACTGTCCAGGGGAACAAAGAATGGGTAATCGAACTCACAGATGGATCGATGAATAGATTAGTTATTGTGAATAACAATATTATTGTTATAAGAACTAGACAATTTAAAACTACCGTAATAAATTAACAAATTGAATCAGTGCATTGATGAAATAATACCTGCAGAAATTGGCAAATGATTGATGGATGAACATGAAAACCTTTACTAGTGCATGGACAGCCGAACAAACGACTAAATGGAGGGACGGTTGGATGTACAGATGTACAATAGATGGATAAATTTATGTATTGACGAATGAGTGATTGCATGACGAGATAAGGCAAAATCGTCTCGAAGCGTAAAAGAGCCGCTATTCAATCAATCTCTTCAATCAGTATACCTCTTGCGTACTTATTACTTATATATTGAACCATATATATCACATATACAGAAATTTTCACAGTTTTCAATTTACTATTTTTTATTCATCTAAACAATTGCAACGATAAGAGAAAGGTCGTTAGCATAAAGTTATCAAGGTACATGTTCATCGATGTGTATAAATAATTGGCAAACAGTTTTGAAGAACATTGGCTAGTCCCTAATTAAACGATCGATATCGGAAAATTTTGTGATATTATAAAATGTCACAAGTAGCAAAGGGAAACGGAACGCCTCAATGAAAACATCATCATCGCAACGTTTTTGCGTATGTCTGCTAATATTATTAGCGAAATTGCGGAATTAATACATTGCTATCTTAACGTTTAAGAAAAGTTACATCGTTAAAAACTTTGTGATGTAACTAAAGTTAAACTCAGCGAAAGGCCGTAATTTTAAACTAATTTGTATATTCATGGCACAACATAAAGATTATCGATAAAGTCGTTTGCTCGAAGAAAAATTACTTTTAAAGCCATGGAACAGATACAAACAACTATAATATATATATATATATATATATATATTATTTATATTGCAGACGTTAAAAATTTTATACATTGTATGCATACTATCGAGCAATACGTAGATGCTTTATTGTCTATACAACAGACGTAAAGGTTCTATGTACAAATTTTTTGTTAGTTATCTTAACTCGCAAATGTATTCCACTGCTCATATGATAGAGAAAAATTTCCTTATTTTACTTAAGATAAAATGCATTTTCTTGTATTAATATTTTCTTTAATAAACTGTATTCCAAGAGTACCTTCAATAATAGAAACATAAACATATATATAAATAGTTCAAGCAAACAACATTTTTGCGAAAATATCAAAACATAACATTTTTGTTTAGATATTTATGCCCTCTAGTTGTCTCCACATTCTTTCAATGTTTTTAGCTTTTAAATAAATTCTTGTTATCAAAGGAAAACGAATACAACGTTATCTGTATTCGTCGTTATTGTTGTTGTTATTGTATTGCCGAGTCGAAGAGGATTTTCACAGTCGCTCTTTAGTTACAAGCAACCGCTTGGTTATGTATTCAGGTCACGTTAACATTTTATCACAGTTTAAATATAATCCTTTGAAAATGTCATTATGAAAATTTGACTAATGTCTTTTCAAAGAAGTCCTGCAACCTCTCTTTCATCTACTATACGTGGCTTTGTTACATTCACTTCCGAGAAATGGGAATATATTCGTTTTGCTGAAACGTTTGCCATATTCAATATGCAGTAATATATACCGCATAGCATACATAAATATACGAATATGAATATATTTATAGATAGATGGATAGATATATAAAATATACAGCATCAGTATCCGCATCTATCAGCAACAAATTGTGAATTGATCTAAGCATAACTGTCCGCCCAGCAATCCATCTATCTATCTCTATTTCCTAATTTGCCTACGTTCGTTAATTATCGACTTCAATCTTGATCGAAAAAACCCTTTGAAGGCTCTCCAATACATGCCAGTATTGTGCATA